CAGGTAACGCGGGCTCCCGCCCAGGGCAGGGCCAGAGCCTGGGTCTGTGGGGGGCTGAGGCTCTGATGGGGGCTGTTTTCAAACACACGGCCCAGGTGGGTGGGGGGCAGGGAGTTAGCGCCCACACGTCGCTGCAATAAGACGCCGTCCACAGGTGGGAACCTCTGGGTCTCTGCTGCGGGGTCAGCACAGGCCGGGGGTCGCTGTGACACCGGCGTGTTCCACCATCCAAATCGCTGCCCAGGGTCCGTGGAGCTGGAGCAGCCTCAGCTGGGTTTTCCATCCCCCTGGCTGCATCCTTGGAAGAAATCCAGCGGGATTTGGGTCGTGCAGACACAGCATGCGAGTCTGGGAAGTGGCCTCCCAAGGCCATTGCAGGGAAAGCAGTGGGCTAGCATGCCCATTGTGCGGTGCACAACGGGGAGCGTGTCCATTGTGCGGTGCACGACGGGGAGCGTGCCCAGTGTGCGGTGCACGACGGGGAGCGTGCCCAGTGTGCGGTGCACGACGGGGAGCGTGCCCAGTGTGCGGTGCACGACGGGGAGCGTGCCCAGTGTGCGGTGCACGACGGGGAGCGTGCCCAGTGTGCGGTGCACGACGGGGAGCGTGCCCAGTGTGCGGTGCACGACGGGGAGCGTGCCCAGTGTGCGGTGCACGACGGGGAGCGTGCCCAGTGTGCGGTGCACGACGGGGAGCGTGCCCAGTGTGCGGTGCACGACGGGGAGCGTGCCCAGTGTGCGGTGCACGACGGGGAGCGTGCCCAGTGTGCGGTGCACGACGGGGAGCGTGCCCAGTGTGCGGTGCACGACGGGGAGCGTGCCCAGTGTGCGGTGCACGACGGGGAGCGTGCCCAGTGTGCGGTGCACGACGGGGAGCGTGCCCAGTGTGCGGTGCACGACGGGGAGCGTGCCCAGTGTGCGGTGCACGACGGGGAGCGTGCCCAGTGTGCGGTGCACGACGGGGAGCGTGCCCAGTGTGCGGTGCACGACGGGGAGCGTGCCCAGTGTGCGGTGCACGACGGGGAGCGTGCCCAGTGTGCGGTGCACGACGGGGAGCGTGCCCAGTGTGCGGTGCACGACGGGGAGCGTGCCCAGTGTGCGGTGCACGACGGGGAGCGTGCCCAGTGTGCGGTGCACGACGGGGACCTGGGCCAGGCCGAGCCTTCCTGCAGTGCCAGCCAGGCTCTCCGGGGCCTGACTATGGGGCACAGCTCAGGGCGGGTCCCTCCGTCCCTCCCAGGCTCCCGCCCTCCCCCCCCGGCTACCCTGCACCCAGTCCAGCCAGAGCCAAAGGGCAGGGCAAAGCAGAATTCTCCAGGGCCTGGCATGGCCCAGGGGAGGGCAGGGGGCGGTGCCAACCCAGGACCTGCGAGCCCAACGCCAGCGTCAGCAGGAGCTGGGCTCCAGGGGCCCCTGGGCTGCTGCAAGGAAGGGGGCGGGAGAGGTTCCCCCCCGAGCCAGCACGGCAGAGTCTCCCCCGCGCCATCTCCGGGCGG